TATTTATAAAATTAAATATTAATTATAATAATAGAGAAGCAACAAGAAATCAAGATAAAAATTTAAATTTAAAAGCAGTTAAATATAAGAAGAATAATATATATATATAAGCATAGATTGATAATAATGTAATAAAAGAAATCAGAATATGTTCTTTTCTATCATTCGTGCATTAGTAAATTAGTTGAAAGTCGCAATTTGAAGCATTGATGAATGAAATAGAAATGCGAACTTATTTAAGAAATTAGGTATTTAAGAAATTAGGTATTAATATCATAATTTGTATTTATGATATTATTATAATATATTAACATTTATACAATATATTAATATATTAATATTATAATTAATATATTAATATCATAATTAATATTGAATTTCATAAATAAATTCGCCTTTTTATTTCATTCGTCAATGTTATAAATTGAAATATTCAACTATTATACTCGAAATTTAACGAATTTAATTATTTATGTATATCGTCAGAATAAATTATCACAAGCATGATTGAAAAATAATAAAGCGCTCGTAAAATTAAAAGTTTAAAAAAATAGAAGAAGGAAACAGTGTATGAAAGTTATTCTCGCGCTTTCATGTTATGCCTATATACTTTTCTCATGTGTTTCAGCCCCTTTATATGTATTTACAATACAATGAAATTAGTATGTATTATTCTCTCATAGAAACAATCGAGAATTGATTAATATCTCGACAGTGATTTCGCCAAGAGCGAATTAAAATAGAATGCTAAAATCTCAATTGACTCACCTGTATCCGGACGCGGCCGCTGCTCCCTGGATGCCGGAAGGGGTTCTACGCTGTACTCCAAGGTCGCGACATCCCCGGCGCGCGCCAGCACTACCAACACCACGGAAATCGGCAGCAACGACGTCAGCAACACCGTCCTCATCGATGTCCGGCCGATGACGAGCGTCATTTTTCAGCAAACGCACACGTTCCAACGCACTCTTCCGCACTCCGATCTTCACCCCACCGGTCACATGTTTTTCTTTTACTCTGATCTCGCGAATCCGGAAGACGCCGGACGCTCTTTCACTGCACGCGCGCGCGTTCTACCCGAGGAACTCGCAGACGGACGGGTAACCTTCGAAACGACGACGGGAACGATGACTTCGAAACGATTTTGCGAATGTTGTCGACGTCGTCGTTCCGCGATGGTACTCCATGTGAACTTAGCCACGCTGCGCCGCGTAAATATCGCGGGAGTGTCACGTGATCGCTACCGTTATACTTCGACAGGGATGCGGACAAGGTAAGAAAGAGAGTGGGAGGGAGGGAGGAAGGAAAAAAGGAAGGAAAAGAATGGGGAATCGTGAATGTTGTCACCCGGTAGCGCGTGCTACCTGTTTTGAAAGAAGTATGCACCCGCCACACCAGCCCATGCTACACTGCTACGCCACAGTCACTACAGTCAGGTGTTTCAAGCCAACCGCCACGCGAGCGAGCCGCGAATGTCGCGACATCTCTCGAACGTTCACCGAACTAATCGCGCGCGCATCGAACTGCGAATCTATCTTCACGTGAGTCGCGCACCCACTACTGTCATGTTCACCTTCTCCTCCTTGCATCACTGCGCGTGCGTCACGTGGTCCAGCGATCCGCAGCCAATTTCATTCATGAGGACCACGCGCTTCGCTGTTTGCTCCATGCTGTTATATACTACACAAACTCGCGTCGCGCCTGTAACATATATATACTTTATAAAAAAGTAAAAAAATATGTAGAATATTTTTCGATTTTCTATTTAGTTTTCCAGAAAATCGAATTTGAAAATCCGTTGCGTATGTATGCTATTACGGTTAAGCTACGTCGTCGAGCGAACCGCGTATAGTATTTATAAACAACGCTCTGCGACTTATGATGTCGAATATTCATGTCAGTTTTTATTCAAATCATCATGACGATGAATTCTACGAACAGAGAGTGCGTCGATACAAACAATTTTGTCGTTGAGAAAATAAAATTTTGTTTGCTAAAAATTTTCTTTGTGTTTTTCCTTGAACCTAATAGCTTTTAGATCCCATGTAAACATTGTTTATAAATACTATACGTCACTCGACGAACCGTAGCTTAATAGCCGTAACGACATACATACGCAACGGATTTTCAAACTCAATTTTCTGGCAAACTAAGCAGAAAATCGAGAAATATTCTATATATATATTTTTTAATTTTTTTATAAGGAACCACGTCGTGCCCGTTTTTATATGTTATTCGATCAGATCCTCTATATCATATTACATTATCACTTTTTTAAATCATATGTTACAAAAAGTCCAATTAAATAGAAAGATAAAAGATTCTAAGATGTACGCGAATTTTAAAAAACGCGAATAATTTTTAACAATAGGATTTCCAAATCTCCCATAAATATTGTAAGTCTCGCCTAATAAGATTCAGAAATGTAAAATTAAGAGAACAAAGAAAGGCGTTTTCTAAATCATTATTTAAAAAAAAAATGATGGGAGAAGAAATTACTTTTCCGTATTTTCTGACATAGTGCATTGATGTGCGATGGCGCAACTGCGGTAAACGGGATTTTCAACAACCTTGATGCTCGTTCTTCCTCGAGAAGGCATGGCATATGCCTGTCGGGATTTAATTAAGCCCAGTCGTTCGGGAAAAAAAAGCTGTTGGTACAGGAAGTACGATGGGTTTCGAGTGCGCGGGCAGCGTACCGTGCCGCAAGCCCCGTTACACGACAAGTCCATTGGCGTAGCGTGACGCATTGATCGATCAAAGTGAAATACGGCACACTTCAGACAGCGCCATTTCACGCTTCTATATCTTCCCTCTAATAACGTATTCGATTTACTGACCTGACTCCGAGTCAATGGTCTGTTCTGTTTTTAGCTGTAAAAGAAGAATTAAATTGTGCAAGAAATGCAACTAAAAAGAACAGAGCGTTAAGTCGAGTCGAATAGTAAATCGAATAAGCTGTCGGTCCTCAACTATTTTCATGATTGATATTTTTAGATTTGTAGAGAAAATGTCTATTTCTACCAATGTAGATTATCTTTAATCTCTGTTTAATTTACTGTTTATCTTTTTTTTTAATTCTCAAAATTAAAAAAAATAAATATTAATAGGAATAAATATTTAAAAAATTATTAAAAATAGAAATTAAATATAATGTAGAATGGATATCTACAAATATAAGTATATATTTATATGTCTCATATTTTAAATTGTTCCATTGTGCATTACGTTTAATTACTATTCCTCATTTTTTTCTAAAATTTCATTCTCAATTAGAATAATTTGAACTTCTATTAAATGAACAAATCGCGCAAAATATTTATTTCAATAATAAACAGACATCGTTCGATGCGCGTCTTTTATCTATTAAAGTTAATCTCTAATTATTTTATATTATTTACCTCATTGCCAAATTCCAACGATTCCTTTATCATTTCGTTTTATACTTCGATTTCGATAGAGTACGTTATTCTGGAAAATCATCTCAAGTCTGAAATCAGATCAGTTTCCTTTTTCCGCGAAACCGGCAACGATCTCAAAGTTAAACCGAAACGTCGAAAAGTTATTACGCGAAAGAAGGGGAGCTACACCTTTACATCCTATTTATACTAGCCGTCAGGCTCGAACCCCACCACTCGCACGCCAGCCAATGAGTGCGATGCCTCGCCGCAGGTGTTGTACCTGAACGCTCATTGGAGCGCGCTAGCTATCTAGATAAGGTATATAAGCGCTACGAGCCCAAAATCTGAACATTTTTACTCGGGAGCTGGATTCGTGCGTTTCTCCAATTTAGAATGGATCAGAACGCACTTAAAGCTTAAACGATGTTAAAGCTTATTTAGTGCGTATTTAGCATAGTTCTCATTACGTATATGTATATACTGTAGAATTTCAAATGAATTCAACATGAAAGTACATATTTTTCGTTGAAATCGCTTTCTGAAATTATATTCTTTTTGAAAATTAGATCAATAGAATAAACAGATGACAGATATCGAAGAGACTGCATGAAAGAAAAATCGTACTTGTAAAATAATATACAATCTTAAAAAATACAAATTAAGATTATAAATTAATAATGAAAAATTCAATATACTAATAGTAATAGGTTTAGCGAAATTTATGAATCGATATTCGTTATTTATAACAGATTTTTAATTAAAAAAAAAAAAGACTACTTTTTCATTTTGGCTGAAAAACAGTTCTAAACTTAACATCTTCCTTTGCATCAACACAGAAACGCGCAGGAAATATTTAAGCGATTGAAAAAAAACGTTACCGAAAAATTATTATTGCGTCCGTCGGGAGTTGCTTACGAGAAATAAATTAATCTTGCATTTATCCAGGAAGGGAATGCTCCGGTATTCCCTTAGATCACTGCGTAGACACGTGTAATATACGAAAGCGCGTATACGTGAGGTTAAATATTCATATACATATATGCATCACGCATCTCGCGGAATTTAACACAACAAACGTTTATTCACGTGGCGAGCCGAACCAGCGCGACGCGGTGGTTTAATGCACATATGCCTGTCGAGAGGGATTTAATTAAAAATCGGTTCGCTGGAATACCGCGGAGAGGTGGAATAAATTTCAGATGCACAAGCCATTAATTAGAACGCTATCGCGCTACCAGCACGACATTGCATTTTCGTGTTCGCATTTGCGATCGGAAAGAGCCCTTTGAGAGTATCCATTATTCATCGCGTCGGATATTTAAAATAAACGTCGTAATAATTTTGAAATAATAACTTTGAAATAACAATCTTACTTAATAGTCAGTATGTTAATAACTTTATTTTATATATAATTTTTATTTGTTTTTAAATGAAATTCCAGCAAATTTTATTTGTATTTATTGATAAGCTAAAAATTAATATTTTCTAATTTTAATATTTCCAATAACATTATGAATATTTTTAATTCCATCCTTGAAAGAACATTTTATATATTATGATCGCGAAGCTAAAAGGAAATATATTTAATTTATTTAGAGATAATAAAAAATGTTATATAAAAATTTCGTTATAATAATAACATAAGCAGCGTGAAATAGATACATAAGAATGCAATTACTTAAATCACTTGTAGCATTTATGCAGGTTCCACTATTTTCATATTTTTATAAAAGTTGTTTTAAGCATTATTAACAAATTACAGTATTAGGAAGGAAATTTCATAGGATAATCAATTAAAATATACGATATACGTATCTATAAATTAATATTAACAATTTTATAACGTCGATTTATTATGTAAACATAATAAATAAAATATAATTTAAATTATTATATTTGATTTATTATATTTACTTAGTAAATCAGCGTTACAAAATGTCTTTAATCTTTAAACAAATAACAGCACGATCAAAAATAGATAAGAAATGTTTTTTTTAGATTATTGCGTCGATAATGTAATTTTAAGTCATTAGATATGAATGAAAGCACTTCAAATGTAAGAATAGATTAGATAAATGTTAAGACTTTTAAAACCCCAAAAAATATTGTTAGGTCAGAAAGAATTACTTTCACAAGCCTCTGAATACAAATCATCAAAGTGATAAAGAAAAAAAAATTCAAAACAAGTTTACCTAATAAATTCCTATATATACATTTGATTGTATAAAGTAAATAAAAAGTAATGTATCTATTCAAAGCTAAACAAAGGAGCATTTTTAAATTCTGATGAGTAGTTGAAAAAATCTTACCAGCATTCACCCAAAGGAACTGCTCGACTCCTACAGCTGGAAGAAATGCATACGCAATATGCGTTTCATATCGCGATCGAGATCAGACAACGGAAAAAGGTCGTTTCTCTCGGGATGCCGTAACGGAGCGCGTTTGGGCACGTTTTACAACGGGCATCCTCCCGGTATTCTCCGCACGCGGTATCTCACCGGTACGATCTGGCGCACATTGTGCGTGCTTAGAAAAGTTCTCTTAAGCGTGCGCGGCATTGTTTTACTCTTACTGACGATTTTACACATGCGAAAAGTTATGATTTACGCAACGGCGCACTTAGGCGTGCCTTCAGAACGCCAAGTTATTTTTAAGGGCCGCCGAGAGAAACAGACTTTTTTTCTATTCTTTTGAATTGGTATGCAAACCGTGTGAAATTTCTTCTGTGGCATTTTACTTCGTATTTGAAAGTATATAAATTCATGTGAACTAAAAAGAATAAAGATTCTATGTTAAAAAATAAAAGGACATCATTAAACAGCTAGATTGTAATAAACATGTATCTGTACAAACAGAGGAATAAAGAGACTGTCGCTCGGAGTAAAATGAAAGACTTTTAATCGAGAATTATTTAATCTGTAAAGGAAATGTTCAATTATTCGAAGATCTTCGTTGGAAATTTCTATTTCCTGCAGTTTGAAAAGCAAGGTCATATCAATATTTAGCAATGAAATTACCAAAGAATGTTCTCTATTAATTTCCAGGATTATCAAGAAAAATATTGTCCGTCTGTATTCAATTATAGCGCATAATTACGGTCTTTTTTTTTTCCTCGTATATCGTAACGTTTTCCTCTATTGCACAGAGTATCCGTTCGATGAGCCATAATTTCTCTCACATATATTGCAACCTAATAAAAGTATATTGCAATCTAATAAAACGCACGACAAACTTATAATTCCGCGTTCCACGTTAGCGATCTTCTAAAATCGTCTGTCAGTTTTTTCGTATTTTTTATACAATGCAGCATTCCGCAGGATAATCAGAAGGAGTGAATTATAAAAAAAATATGCCTATCTATTGTGCAGCTAAAATTTGCACAAAACAATTTACGTTTCTATTCTAGTAATAGTTTTTTATAACGTATTATAAAAATAACGTATTTAAAAAATAAATATGCATGTAGACTCGTTGATATAAAATATTTTTTATATATAAATAAATGAAAAAGGCTATATTTCATCTTTGCATTCGTTCATTCTATTAAAAAGCATATTAAAAAAATTACAATTAAATAAATTTGTACAATTACTTAATAAACACAAGAGTAAAAAAAGATATATAATATTTAAATAAATAATTCTGGATATACGTAAATGTTTTTTACAATTTATTTTCTCGATCGAAATTATATATCGCTACGTATGAAATTTTATTTAAATAAAAATAGAGACTAACAATAAGTTGATGCTTCATTGATTAATTTGCCAATTCAATCGAATGTACTTGAGCAATGCGCTGCTGTAAAACCTAACGGATATTACCTGCTGCGATATCATGCAAAATAGGTATCGTGAGCGTTACCGATGGCTAGTGAACGTTGAGAAACACCGTTTGAATAATATCCTTAACAATAATTGCTTCGATCACGAAGAAGAAAGCGTTGTCCCCAACAAATTGTTGCATTCATTGAACCGATTAATCCTTTTGTTCAAACATCGCAATCCTGCTTCTTCGCAGGATGCTCGATCCTTGAATATTGAATATTGAATAACGAAAAAAAAAATCAATAGACAATGGTTTAATAAAATAATTTTAATAATTTAAGAACTCTCTGTAAACAATGATGATTTAATATGATACAACAAATTGATTTCATAACTCAAAATAAACGCGGAAACATAATTACTTAGCAAAAATGTAATATCTTTCTAAATATGCTTTCAATGACATATTGATACTTAAATAATAATCAGTTTGAATGAGATCAGTCCAGTATGCAAACTATATTACATTATAATATATGGCAATGGCAAGCAAAACACCCAGTAGGTACGTAAGTTCGCATGAAGGGATGTGGTGGTTGTGCTGAATCCAAGTTCAAAGAGTCCTCGCTTTCGTCACTTAATTCCCCGATGCTGAACGTGTCTGTGAGATCTTGTTTGTGCTTTGAGGAATCCTTCGATTTCGTCGGAAAGAGAGTCATTTCATTTTCACTAATCACAAGCAAATAGAATCCGTTGATTAAACTTGATCACTTGATACAGATGTTTTCTTTACAAATGTGAAATAATCGAGATACATATTGCTATCTTTAATTAGAGGACAATATATTATGTAACAGATTAAAAATCAATTTTTAAACACAGATAAGTAAAGATCATATTCGATCAAAACACAGGTCTTGCCTAATATTTTTGTAAATCTTAAAAATTTTCAAGTAAACTGGCGTGCCAGTTATTTATCGGTTTTAAAACATAGTTCTGAACTGAAGGTGGAGTAATATCACAGATCAAATTGACAAATAATTTAATAATACTGATACTAATGAGCATTTAAAATACTGTAACGAATTTATTGCAATTTAGTTGGAAACTATAAGATTCACAATTATTATTCATTAAGATTCGCTTCGACTGAATATGGCTTCTTCAATCATTGTGTTGAACAATTCTCGGTCGATTTTCACTTAACATTATTTAACTTTTAAATATTGTATAATATAAAGTGTCGTCATCTAACAATTCTTTATGTATACATATATGATTGTTTAATACCTTTCACTTTCGCTGTGCCAGTATTCAACTAAAGGAAGGTGCTCCTTATTTTTACGTGGTATAGGCAATCTTTGTATTGATATCAATCCGGCAGAACTGCTTGCATTTTCATTGTCATGTTTCGGAAGTTTTATGTAATCTGAGTTGCGTTGGATTCGTTTCGCCTGTTCAATGCGTATCTCTGCAGAACAACATTATTGCGTACATAATTACAACAAAGCAATAAGTTGCACTAATTATTGCAAAAGCAATGTTGAAATAAAAATGTTATAAGAAACTAAAAGTTTATTTCAGTACCAAGTTTCTTTTGCAGCTGTTTCGTTGTATTCCGTTGAGAAACCTGTGTGTTATTACTGCTACAACTGCTATCACTACCCTACAAAAGATTAAGATCTTTTTATATCATTAAACAATTGTTATCTTGTATATAAATCATTATTTTTACCTCACAATTATATATTATATTATAGTCTTATATATTTCTCTATTAGGAAAGTCTAATAATAAATATCTGTTAATATGTTTATTAAGATGGATATTTACCAAGAAGAGTCTTTCATCCTCAACGTGATTAACAGCTTTAGGATCACTATCAATACCACTATCTTCCATGATTCAAAACATTTAGAAATATAGAGGCTCCTTTTAATTCATCTAAAACAGAAAGAAATATCTGCATTATTTTATTTTATCTTACTAAAGCTGATCAAATGTAAAAGAATCAACAAAAAAACTGAAATGTTATAAATATAAAACACATATTACGATTAACAACACCACTGTAATTAACAAAAGCTGGTATTCAGTCAAACAATAAAGAGGTTGAATACAGATGTCTGATACGTCACACAGCTTTTATATATCATTTTAAGTTTTTCAAAACTTAACAACATAATATGTCACTCCTAGTTACTCCTTGTTATGAGAATTGCATAAACTAATATTTTACAAATTTTAATAAATAATATTCGCACGATTCTATGCAATAATCGTCCTACAACTTGTTGGAGTGTTCACATTACGTGGTCTAGTCCATTATTGATTTTCTCCGTAAGATAACCCCAATGAGAAAAGCATGCTTGTTCTGGTTGCGACAGAAAAAAACTAGCATGACTGCACGAATTGAATCAAATATACTAGTTATGTTTGACAGTCACATGACATGTTATTACATATATGTATTATATATGTACACATATATTAAATTCAGAACTGTATCCAAAACTATATAAAATTTCTACATTAAATATAAAAACAAAGTTAAAAATTTACTGTCAAGTGAAAAAAAGATTCGATATCTGAAGATTAGAGCATTTTATTTCAAACTAAAATCATAAAAATTAGATTGACAATATCAAAGGCTGGCGTATCCTAGGAAACTGTAACAGACTTCTCAGTATTGAATGATATATGAGAAAAGAGTGTTTAGGATTTTTATCTTTTATTATGTCTTTATATATTTTATCATAATCATATTACCAATCATTAAAAAATAATATTCTTCATTTATAAAATAGACTACTTTGATAAGAACAAACAGAACAGTGCTTGGCAAAATAGAATTTGTCTCCTCATCATTAATAGTAAATCACTGTATATTAAAGAGAGAACATACATACAACTGAATGCAATATTCATATTTGTAACAAAATACGAAGAGAAAGCTAATCCAGTTTCAACTGATCAATTGCTAGAGATTGTTGCGATTGCTTTGACTATATTTTTAAATAGAAAGGAAACAATGGCACCGATAATACCTAAAAAGATACCCTCAAAAATATTAGAGACAAGTAAAGAGGTATATATTTATCGTTATAACATAATAATAATAAAGTAAAAAAAAAAGTAATAACTCGTCATATTAAAGAAAATTAAAACATCAAAATTTTACAGCATTTATCAGCGAAGAATTACATGTCACGACAAGATTTAGGTGCTGGTGATATGGATTGGATGCGAGGAAAGCAAATTTTGTTGAAACCAATTGATCAATTGCAGTTAACAGAAGCAGTACGTCTAATGTTTCTCTTGATTTTGCTGTTGAATAGTTCTGTATCTAATTTCGAATATCCTAGGAATTACAAGAGGAATTAGCCAGAGTGTTAACTATACATAATACCAGGGTACCAGATTCTTTAGTCGAATGGTCATGGAAATTACGTCAATTTGTAAGATTACCTCCTCCACCACATTTAGTAACTCTTCTAAATGTAATTGGCACTATATTACACAAAGACTCTGAAGAAGCCAAAGTGCAATTGGCAGGAGGAACTTTTGGTGAAATCTCTTTATTTATTGCAATAATTAAATGTTATGTTAGATGAAATAATTATAAAAAAAGGATATATAGGTGTAGTAAAAAGAAATCCATTATTTTTCCAATAGATAACTTTAGTAATCTGTATCTCGTCTACGCGTGATCTAAAGCCATCTATTGGAAAAATAATGGATTTCTTTTTACTACATCTAATATAAACTTAATAGTTTAGATTCTCATATATATGTATAATAATTATGTATTTACACAATTCTAATTTCACATACAGATGAGGATCAGGAGGAGACAACAGATGAGAAATTAAAGCGTGATGAAGCGGAAGAAGAAGAAAAAGAGGAAGAAGGTAAGTATAGAAAACATGGATAATTACACATGACTTAACAAATCACACATTTGATATTCTTTTAAATAAAAACATAAATTACATATTCCATAAGAATAGTAGAAGAAGAAATAGACAAAACAGTAGAAGCGCTAGCTGAGGCCGAACGTGAACATGAGTTGGAAGCTGAACCGGAACCTGAGGAAGATGAAATAGAAAAGATAAAACCCAAGAAAATACCTAATCAATTTAACTTCTGTGAGAGAGCAGCATTGACATATGATAATCCTATGAGGGCACGTATATTCTCTTCTATGTATTAAACATATTTAAACTCTTGCTTATAGATATAAAAAATAAATTAAATAAACCTTGCAGGATATGAGTACACAAACTATACCTCCGCCTACTGCGACTTTCAATATCAATGTTCTTCAATGGACTATTTTTGACGAATATCAGGTAAAAAGTTCTCTTTAAATTAATTATTAATACGTTATTTTATTTCTGACAGAATATTATATATGCGTCAACTTGATATTACATTCACCACGCAGAATAACATTTTTATTTAAAAGATATAAACATAAAAAATAGAAATATTATACAGAAGTCTGACCTTCTTTATTTTGTCGATAGGAAGATTATGCTCAACAACAACGAGAAAAGGAAAAGGAGAAGAAAGTCCCGTTGGCACAACCAAAGAAAGAAGACGTGAAGAAAAAAGCTCAACTGGAATCTTCAGCAATGACAAACAGAATGTTACAAGCTGCAAAAACGTTAGAGCGAATGGTGAACCAAAACATTTTTGACGATATATCGCAAGGTAGACTTTTAATCCTTTCTTCGATGAAACCTCAGTCTCAAGTATAAATTTCTTTAATTGTTAGATTATAGATATTGGGATGATCCGAGCGATGAATTCAAGGAAGGCGAAGGTTCCTTATTACCTCTGTGGAAATTTTCGTACGAAAAGACTAAAAAACATGATATCACGGACATGTGCTTTAATAGTAGATATTATGATCTCTTTGCAGTCGCCTTTGGATCACGTTAGTAGAATACGCATATTTTAATTTTTATAATATTTAAGTTTACAAATAAGAATTATAATATATGTATTCTAGTATCATTTAACAGTCCAATAACAAACGGCACAGTCTGCTTATTCAGCTTGAAGAATCCATCGTATCCAGAATGGATTTGTCCGACAGACTCTCCCGTGATGTGCCTGGATTTTAATGCTCAACATCCTCATCTTTTAGTTATTGGTGTGAAATAGTATCATTTCAAATATTTAATTGTATTATAAAAATATTTATTTAGAAATGTAAATTTTGAAAATGAAAATCTTTTAATAAAATGTTTACATTAGTTTATAATCTAGTTTCTAAAGTGATTGTTATGTCATTATTGTATGATAACATTAATTTATTAACTAAGGTACCATGGACGGAGCAGTGGCGGTTTATAACGTAATGTTACCACCATTCACACCGCAATACAAAAGCAGCGACGTTGTGCAAAAGCATGGAGGGTTAGTATGGGAGGTCCGTTGAATATTTTAACTCTAATACTTTACGACAAAACTGAGAATTTCATGAGAAAAACTTTCAATAAAATTTTTAAAATATATGTACTGATTACAGATTCGTTGGGCACCTGATACAGAGGAGGGAAATCTGGCGTTCTTTAGCGTTAGTATCGACGGTAAAATAAATCATTGGGTATTAAACCAGAATGATCTTGGTCTCACTACCATTATGACGTTATTCCTGGACCAACCTCCTATACCGGGACCAGATGGCACAATGATTACGCTGAAAGGTAATGATAAAAGGAAACCAGAGATCATTATGTTTCATAATAATTATGCAAACCGTTTAAATCTAGGATGCGGAACGTGCATTGCATTTCATCCCGCCGATCAGAATGTTTTCTTGGTGGGAACAGAGGAGGGTTCAATGTACAAATGCAATACAGCGTACAGCAGCATTTACATGAGAACGTATCAAGAAGCACACACCATGCCGGTATATCGAATAGTGTTCAACAAGTACAATTCCAGCATTTTCGCCAGCTGTTCAGGCGACTGGCGAATCAAGATCTGGGAAGACGAAAGACCGTAAGTTACATCTTCATAATTACACAAATTTTATTATATTAATACTTTGTACGCAGAGAACCTTTGTTCATGTTCGATCTGGGTGTTCCAATTGGAGACGTTCAATGGGCACCATACAGCTCTACGGTATTAGCTTGCGTATCAAATGATGGCAAAGTTACAGTGTTTGATTTGAATGTCAACAAATACAGACCAATCTGCAGTCAACAAATCGTCAGTAAACGAAAAAACAAACTGACTCGATTAGCTTTTAATAACGTTTTGCCATTTATAATAGTTGGCGATGATAAGTGAGTATTATCTTTAATTTAAAAAAATTTGTATAGTCTTAAAATTATATTTCATATAATTTGTAATTCGTTTACTTAATATCTAATTTCATATAGAGGTACCGTGAATACGTTGAAACTATCTCCAAATTTACGGATAAAGGTAAAACCAACGAAGAAGCAATTACATTTGTCGTATACGGAATTAGAATCTTTGAAATTAGAAAAGTTACTCAGTTTTGTGCGAGAACCGCCCGTACTGACTCCACCTAAAGATGTAAGAACAGTTACTTAAAATTGAATGAATAAGAACACGGATTTCAATCTTTTATGAACAACAGTGCTTTATTAATATTTGCTATAACAGACGGATACATATACATATCTATATTTTTACAAATAAATTGGCACTAATTATACAATAGAGAGATCAATTAGTTCTATGAAGTAGTTTATGTACCTGACTCTTATTGCCGAAAAAAGATCATTGTAACAAATAGAATAACATCTCACTGCTTAATACAACGAGAGAGAGAGAGAGAGAGAGAGAGAGAAACTAAATAAAATGATTTGAATTAAAATGATTCAGATAAAATATTATTTAAACGTAATAAATGCAATTAACATATTTATTTTTAAATGCTTTCTCTCATTCTGTTTACAAAAATTATAATCACAGAACTTGAACAATCAAATTCCTACTATATATATAAATATTTATGAAATATTTTTCACGTTTTATAGTCCAAGATACATTATTAAATGCCTCCATTTAATAAATAAAATATTTAAAAAATATTATTATGAGATCAGATCTGTGTTTTTTAATATATATTTTAAATATTAAATATTTAAATCTCTATAATACAATACATCCCAATACTATAATATCCATTAGTAAACAATAAAAAAATTTAGAAAAAGTTAATACAATGAAAATGTATTGAAAAATGTGTCAACATTTATATCTACAAATCTAATTAAAAATACTGAATTTATTTGGCACAATATATTAACAGGTCATGCAAGAAAAAAATTTATGATTTTTACTTTACTTCTGAGTTGTTCAAAGATAACAACAATTATTTGTCATCATTTCTTACTAAAGTAGAGTCCGAATAAGGCAATAGAAATGTTCGCAAGTCTTCAATGTAGACGAAAGATATTATCAAATTGTAATTTTTATTTAGATATATTAACGTTTTCATGCATAGATAATTTCTAATGTCATAAAATATGTAATGTTTCAATATAGTTATCAATTCGATAGCGATAAACATGGCTTGACTTTTGAAGCATCGATTTCTGCAAAATCAAGCAACAATACGCTACCGCGAATAATCTTATATAATTAATCTAAAATGGACTAATCAAAGACAAATTTACCCGGTAATTCTGGATTCTCTATCACCCCCTTAAAGTATTTAAGCTCTAGGAAGTCTCTAATATTATTTGGACATGGCACTTGTCTACCGGCGAACTCGATGCTAGACATTGGATGAAGAAAGTGCTCTGGGAAGTCCCGATTCTTTAGGAACCACGCATCCTTCGTCATGGATCCGTTGCGCGTGTAGAACGGCAGCAGATTCACGTGCAAACGATTCACCTTGGAGTACTGTACCTTGAAGAACTCGCCCTCTGTCGCTTTCTCCCAAATGAAGCCGTCATTATCAACGACCGGCTTGCTCTTAGCTCTGACCAACCACGGCGATCTCGCCAAATCGTCTCGGTTCAATCCGATTTGTACTTCGTGATCCCACGGTAGAATATCGCCATGCCTCATCGCTCCCAGCAACGATTGGCCCTCCAACCAGAACCGTATACCGACCTCCTCCAATTTGTCAATAATGTGATAGGTGACTTTTCTCAATCCGGCCAAACAACAAGGCGGCGTGTATCGATGTTGATAGAGATACGATGGCACACCGTTTATTACTGAACCAAAACATCTCGGAGTTTCCCGCGAACAACCGTACCACTCCACGGAACCGGAAGCTCTTGTAACTTTTTTTATCCCCAATTTCTCGAACATCAATCGCTCACGTGTACGATACAGCTGCTGTATCTTGGATTGTGCCTGTTGGTTTCTGTACAATGGCTTTCCCTCATTGAACTGATAGTTTTTCAATATATGTATCTAACAACAAATATACAATGTATATTACGAAATATAATGCAATATATATTTTTAAAAAATATAAATATTCAATTAATTAAACTTTTTTTTAAATATAAATTTGAATTTTTTTCTTAACACAGAGAAAAACGAAAATAAAATAAATATTAAAAATTCTTAAAGGAAATGCATAATTAATAAAAAATACTTACCAAATTAAAAGGTTTAAAAATAAAAAATTGGGGAATACAAAGAACTCTACACCAACTATATGAAAAATTGGATTCCCAAAGTTAATTTTCACATATAATTAGTGCAGAGTGTAATTATATAGTAAATTGAATCTTGGTTATATCTTATATAAATACAAACTCATACATTTCACTGAGATCCAATTATCTATATAATTAATATGGGGTCCTTTATACACTCACACACTGCCACCAGAACACAAAATTGAAGATAAAATATTCACAAACTAATCACAAAATCCTTGTATGATATAATATCTTCATATTTAATTATACAAATCCAATTAGATATAAATAACAAAACCAATATGTCACACAACATCAATATGTTGCACAAAGACAAATTAATAAATTTATTACTCAATAAATTATATTCAAGAAAAATAAAATAAGAAGGTAATAATTATCTTAAATTAGACAAAATGGATTACCTTTGCACCAATAGCTGTTGTCTGAATGTATAACGCGTCCGTGAAAGGCAGCAAAAATGGATCTGACAATCTTCTCAAAATTTTTGCCTCAAGCATAGTAACATGTTTACCTATTACACTATCACATTCTGTTGCCATAACTCGTGCTATCTTCAAATTCCATTCTCTCACTTTTAAATCTAATTCAAGACAATGTAAGGCTATCTTTCCCACTGGTACAATAACAATCCCTAAATTTGACACTTGCGCGATAGTATCCTGCAAGACATACATCAAAGAGAATAATAAACTGTTGTAAGAAAGCGTTTTCTAAATATCACAACAAATCACAACAAAAGATATTTACCTGTATAACTTGCTTATTCGACAATCTTGTTGCATCAGGTAAGAATAGGACAAACTTGGTACGTATATAGAAGAGTGGATTCCTTTCCTCAGAGGACTTACTGAATTCAGGCTTTAAGCTGATCAGTTTGACGTTCTTCATACTCTCGTTGGCAAAGTCCAGCTCCAGTGGCGGATAAGGCAGTTCATCGCAGACTATCAAGACGGGTATCCCTGGGAAGGAATTCAAAACTGACTCCACCATGGACGCCACATCGTTTTCGAAGTTCTCGAATTGTCTGATGACAATGGTGACCAAATGGCCCAGACACTGTTGGTGCTTCTGTGAGTGTTCGTTTGTCATGACGCTCGGCGTCAGCAAGCCCATGTTTTGCTCCATGGATAGCCGCCATATCCTATGCCAGACGATGAGATTGCCTAACAGCGCGAGGATCAGAAGCGCCCTGACGAATTTTAGGCGCATTATTACGGCACACGATGCGGTCCCATCTTACATCTTATATTATATTATACACGAACAACGCGTATCGGTGTCACAGCGTCCAGGTGTCGAGCTTTGCCATCGAGCTGCAGCGTCAAGCATTTAACAATTCGGAATGTTTTTATCATGCTGGAACCTGGAATGACGGCCAATAATAGTCTTCACGGAACTCATCTCGATGAGTTGTCACGTTACGAAATTAACAAACATGAATGTTTCATTTTATATTTGGTAAAGACACCAAAAAACACCCACGAAGTTATTGCATCAACTTGCGTCAACTTTTGCGAGAATTTTGAGGTTAGGATAAGCCAGCTTTGATTACCTTTGATTATCGATGAATCGAATGCGATTGTTTTTGAGTCGATATTCGAGTTTTTTCCCTGTTTGTTTTCATCTCGATTAATCGACTTCTAACATTTTACGTAGGTGTTCATTTACCGCTTTGAGCAAATTAAAATAAATCAGTTCATGCGTTCAGTGATTCTTTAATATGATTGGTTTTGTCCCTTAATTCCTCACTGGATCTGAATGCATAAATCAATTATATTAAAGAATTTTGCAATAGTTCAGCACAAAACTGCATTTTCTGCTGAACGCAGTGTGAATTGTGTCCAAGGCTTTAGTTTTCTTACATCATGGCTGACTTGTCCGTCATTTCGCGTTAAACATCAAATCTAGTTAAATCTCTGACCGCGCGACGTAGGTTTACGTGCTTTTGCTCTTCGGCGAGAGAAACGCAAAACCATCGAGCATGCCGCTGCATCGGTATACGCACGCAATCCTCTGCAGGATCCCGTTGTCGCTGCGTACACGAGGTGAGGTAACATTGGACGAAGCCAGGACGCAGCACCTGGCCCTGGCGCAGCTTCTCCGCGAGCTCGACATCGACGTTGTCGAGATGCCGCCCGACGAGAACTCACCGCTTTGCGTTTTCGTCGAAGACATCGCCGTCGTTTGCAACGGCATTGCCCTGATTGCCCATCCAAGCGAACCGTCTCGCCTCAAAGAGGTACCTATAATACACAATCCAGATTTTATTAAAATTGATTGTATTGTATTACATTGAGTTAGAATTCATGATAATAATAATGATGATTTTAAAGTCTTTGGATCGAACTTAGTTCCTTTATTGCTCGCTTTTAAATTATTCTTTTGTGTTTTTTCAGCTCGATACTATCAGAGCTGTGTTGAAAAAAGAGTTAGAGATACCATTGATAGAAATAAGCGACAAAAATGCCCGCTTAGATGGTGGAGATGTGCTTTTTACTGGTAAATTTTAGTTTGCGTATTTAATATTTGTTTTGATATTCCATACTTGTGCTTTTGACACAATGTAAACACATGTAAACATCAGAAATATTTTATAAATTTTTACATTTATTAATGCAAAAATATTTCGTCATAGGTAGAGAATTCTTTGTTGGACTGTCTCATTTTACAAATGAAGCCGGAGCACGAGCAGTTGCTGCGGCATTTCCAGAATATCCATGCGTACCTATCAAGGTCGGTAATCTTGTAGATTAACACATCTATAGCATCTAACATTTTTAAGAATTATTAATATCTCCTTTTAAACATAATTCACAAATTTCTCATTACATACTAATGTATATCGCATGTCTCATTAAATTCAACATTTGATGTTAAAGTCATAAAGATGTACTCAGTATGGATGATTTTGTGCTATGCACAAGAATAATCCTAGACCTTAAATACAATATGTGTTTAAATTAAAAAGGACGATGTTTTGTCTATAATATTCTTTAATATACTTACATTTTTTATCTTAACTATTTTACAAAATATATTAAAGATTAATAATATCTTGTTAGATATGACTTTGTAATTTTTGTGTCTATTTCAGAAAGCATTTTATATCTTATATCTTCATTATATGATAGTTCATTCTTATTAGAAGCTACTTCAGAAATTAATTTAATATTGAGATGTAATATATTTCCTGTCAACTTTTTTTATTGCTTTTCAGTATTAATTTTATTCTTGAAATAGATTCAATTTAAGATCAAATCTTCTATATGTAATAAATGCATGTTTCAGTCTGTTAGTAACAATGAAAGTTTTTGTATTTATTCACAGCACACATTGTACATTTATAAAAGGTATAATAGATATATATACCTTATGGATTTGCATCAAACTTCAACAGAATATCATGCTCACTCACCTTACTTTTCTAATGTTCATTTAAGGTGGGTGATGGTGGCGAAGAGGTGATAGTGGAGAGTCTTACCTCAGCCCCTCTTCAGGTTTGGGTGCACTAAACTGACCCTCTTAATATGTTATTAAAGAAAAATTTAACAAAAGAAAAGAAATAAAATGAATATTTTCACAGGCTAGAAACGCAAACTTGCACGATTTTGAGAAACTTTTTTTCGTATGTAATAATTTGAGAATTTTACGAACTGCTTTTTTGAAATTGTAATAAGTTACACAAGTTCCAGCTTGGCACTTGAACCGTGCACTTGAACAATACCACGAATCTTATTCACTCACCTTAGCATGCATATGATTTAGCATTTAACTTCAAGCGAAATGTTTAAAGGCATTACTCATTTTGTTCATAAATTATCGTTGTATAAATATGTATTATGTATATTATAAGCTCATTGTGTATGCACTTTTCAGATAACATATTTTACTGTTTACAGTACAAAACACTGTGCACGATTTGTGCTGGCACATTAAGAATTATATGGACATCATAATAATGCATTAAGATTACATTAAGATTATAATAAATATTTTAATATAAATGTTTTAAAAACACATAAAATATTTTTTTAAAAATTAATATATAAAAATATACGAATTAAAAAGAAAAAAAAAGAAGTTATTATATTGAATAAAATAGTTTGTAGTTTTCGTTAATAAAATTTAATTCAATAATGATTTTCTAGTTTATTCTAATTTATTCAAGTGATGTGATAATAAATTAAAAATATGGTATACAAAATGTAATGATAAAATGACTACATGTTGATTATATAGTGCAATACTCGTTTATTTTCACCTATAATTTTTGAGATAGTAACTCAATATCTCTCTGCTTAGGTGGCTGAATCCAAACGTTTAAAATCGCTGGTTACAATGGCTGGACCAGATGTTATATGTGTAGGGGCTGGAAAAGAATCTCAGGAAGTTCTCAAGGTTAGTCTTAATTTAGAATAAATAAAAGTCACTTTGAAAAAGATACTGTTCAAAAATTTTAAATTTATAGCAGATTGCTTTCACTCGGACTTGCTATATGGCAAACGAATATTGCTACTGTTTTTATGGAATTAAGTTTTTTTCAAAATTAATTATTTAATTATTGAAAAATCTTGATTTTTACTTTTCTGATTTACTACTTCTAATCTAGAGAATCGAGCGAGAAGCAACATACAGTTACCAAACATTAACTGTACCCGAGGACGTAGACGCCAAATCAAGTAAGGTGTTTGCTGAGAAGGTGGAGTTCCCGACTAGATCGTTGCGTTTATCTGAATTAGCGAAAGTTAGCTCTGGTTTGTCCTCCTGTTGCTTGTTGGTGCGCAGACCGCGGCATATCCGTAGCATTTAAACGCGAAAGGAAAATAAGATTTATCTTGCGATGTAATCGCAATCTATGCCACCAGTGCTATCCGCGAAACGTAAAATCGAATTTTCTTCTATCGAATCTGCGGAAAAATACGATGCAATTCATGACGATGATAATTTATTATCCTGACATTTTGATATTATAGTATTTTTTAAATTAATTTTTTAAAAGTTACTGTATCATTTTATATCTTACAAGAGAAGGATTTAGTATTTGAAGAGATTAATATATATATATATATATATATAAAAACACACACATACATATATAATATATAATTTTTATATATTTAGAGTAGAAAAGTAATATATTCAAATTTGGTATTAGTTATTTATATTTATGCTTTTTGCCAGAGATAATCTCTCTATTCTTGTCATTTATTTAATTTTTCGTTCAAAAATTTTTCATTTTTTACATGTGACCTTTATTTATAGCTGCAGCTATAAATTTTTTACTAAGTATTTATGAGTATTTTTTTGTTCTATTTATTGCTTATTTTATGCATTTTTTCCTACGATATCCCAAAAAATATATATAGAGTAAAGCTATGCCATTTACATCTTGTAGTGTTCAATGGGATTAATCTTTATAAATACGGCACGTAACACAATATGGCACAAATTCGATTTTATATATACACTATATGCATGTAGAGGGATTGGAATATTGATTTTTATTATGATATAGAATCAAAATTAATTTGTAATTCGAATTATAATTAAGAATCCAACATACATACGCAATAATAAATTATTTGTAATCTGCAAGGTTTACGTAATCAGAAAGAAAGTGATCGTGCACTATCAGTATTCTGACTCCTGCAACGCATTCGCAACTAGTCTGAAACGTGTTCACATCGAAGCATTCAAATAAATATCTATCATCTATAATGTATCGCAAAGTTGTCGATAATATAAAAGCACTGATAGTTGTTATATTATAACGAAGTTACATAATTAAAAGTTTAAACAGAAATCGATATAAAATTTCTGTATGAAACTTATATGAGACATTATACTATATACTTGAAACATACGCGATATCTCCGATTAATATCGCAGTGGAAAAAGATGTGAAATAGAATTACAATCTTTGACATAAGTGTCATCGTGACAATTTAGCATTTTGTACTACCGTAATGTTTAAGTAATCTTATAGCATATCTCTGTAATGCTTTTATGACTTTTTTATGCGTTCACTCTATTTTATAAACATTAACATTTATTTCTTTGCACTATTTTTCATGATGGAACTTGATGTTTTTAACACTGTCAATATTAAAACAAACAAAAATAAGCAGATCTTTTAATGCAAAATATGCAGTATTTACAGAATTTATTACAATTTTGTTTTGTATTCAAAGATTGTCAAGAGCTTATAAGTTCGTATATATGTATAGAAATATAAAAGTTTATAGAAAAAGACAATCGGTCTTTTTATTATTAGATATATAAGGTGCAATTTTATAAGTCACCGATACAAATGTTGCAGAAATTCTTTGAATTCCTATATAAAACACAGTGTTATTTAAGATAAGGCACAAAAAGTTTGCATAAAAAACATTGAAATAATACTACAGATTATAATCACTTTAGACATTTATAAAATGTGATTGATGTTTTCATACTTCAAGAGACTGTCAAGATTTTTCGGAATCTAAAAGTATATTCCAATCATTAAAAAAAATACAGTCTCATATATATAACTGAAAAAACATTTTCAAAGATTACTTAGGCACATTCTTCAATAGTGGTTCATTCATAAAAGTATGTTTTCCTACACACAATAATAAAGGCTCATTATCATCAATAGCTTGTCTATTACTTGTATGTCACTGGATGTTTCGTTCTGCCATGGTTGAATCATTTTTTCCTGCGTATATAGATGATTATAAGTCTTTCTTTTCACTTGTAATACTGCGATATCGCCACCTACTATGTGACATTCTATAGCTTTGTAAATACAACATCTCATCAATCGGTTTCACATTATGAATAAAACGTTAAAACCGACGTATGATTGCCTCGGACCAATAAAAACGGCGGCATGTCACGTGTAAGTGTTTCTAGCCACGCCATGTAAAGAGGTGCTGATACAGCACCTTTCCGAGGCATCGGTAATGTCCTATAAATCAAACAATATTAATGAAAAAATCCGACTTACAAGGAAACACAACCAAATATCCTACTTTTAATAAGCTTTGAATATATTAAACGTAATAGATTGCACATTCTCTGATCTTAACATCCGTGCTCCTGCTGTTCACGATGTTAAGATCTTGGACGAAGAAAAAATTAAATATTGTCAAAAGGCCGAAATCATTCAAATATGATTCGTTAATTGTTTCTCCATCCGAAATCTCAGAATAATTTCTGATATGGACACCAAGCTTTAGAAAGAATCGAACCATATCAATATCTCTATTTCTCTTCAACTCGATACGTTAGAGAAAGACAGAGCACAATATGATTCAAACTACGTTACTCTTTACTTATTAAAAAAAATACATGTTTCTCTTTTATCTATATTCTATCTATATTTAACATATTCGAAACTTGTTACAATTGAAAGACATTTGGTAGTGTTGCCTTATCAATATAAAAATCCATGACAAATACTACTTACATAACTATTAAATTGGCTTCCATGGAATTTTCAAGTAACAATTCACGCAAACGGAGATGTCTGTTGGTTTTTTCTTTCATCGCCATAAGTTCTGAATCTTTAATAACATCTAAAGAAAAAAATCGAGTTGTTACATAATATATATTGATAGGAAATTAGTAGCTTGTTAGTTTTATTTTATACTATTCATAGAATAAACTTGAAATTACTCATATCATCGTCGTCGGAATTTTTCGAATCGGCTAGTTCTTGGAAGTCGGCTATTAATGAGTCAAAGAATGTCTTTGTACCAGTTTGTGCCGACTTTGAGATATCCGGTATAACTTTTAGGGCGGAATAGTCTATCCGGAATTTTGACAAGAGACTCGCCATACTATGAAAAAAATTAATAATATTAATATCATCAAGAAAAAATTATTTTGCGTAACTATTTCTAGAAGAAATTATTCATCGTCAAAAATTAATACTTGCTTCCTTTGTTCGTATTCCAGTTCAGAGTTCTTATTAGAAAGTGCGAATACTCTCAATCTGCTGTTAGACCAATTACGTCTCGTGCTGATAATGTAAGGTAACAGAAGCGTTAGACCACCGTCATCATACAACCACCATACATCGATAGTACCCTTTTTATGCTTTCGTTGAAATTTCGTTACTACATTAAGTATATTTGTGATTGGCACTATATTTGGTCGATTTTCACGTTGTTCTTCGGAGGATGGATTAGGATACTCATTAATTGTTTTCGAACGTCTCGGTGCGGGACTGCCGGGGATTGATATGTCAGACGTACTACTAGCTGCAAAAATTATAATTTATCAAGCTTCGTTCTTCGAAAAAAATATATTATTACACTAATGACATACACGTTACGAAGCATTCTATAGCTTTTATATAAAAATACTTCTTTATAGATCTAATTATTTTGACATTAATTTATTCTCTAATGTATACTCTTGGACAAAAATTTATGATTGAAATAACATAAAACTTTCGTATATTTAATAAAGATTTTTCTTTTCAAAATTTAGAGATATTCCAACTTTTGAGCGGAATGTATCGTGCAACAACTAATACATCAGATATATTAGATATATGTCAGAAAATAAGAAAATTTAGTTTTTGTCAAAAACCTTGGCTAAGCTGCGAAAAACTCTGATTGCCCGGTATCGAAGTAGGCGCGAGTCTTTTTGAATCTTCGACATCTCCGATCATACTGCTATCCAAGCCTTCTTGAAGTCGGAGAAGTACCACTGCTATATGCATATCCAGAGCTTTGCTGTGAGATACAGAAAAAGTTAGTTCTCTTATGTCAAGTTAACTAAAGTGTGACACACACGCAAGGACTTACTGCATGATGTTGAAATACATATTCAGATTTTCCCGGGGACAAGTAGCCCAATCTTGTTTGTAACCCATCAGCAGAATATTAGGCCTCATTTTCCCAAGTCCAGCGGCTTGTAGGAGCGAAGTAGCTCCATCTTGGAAATTCGAACTATCCACCAGCGAATAAAACGCCTTGATCTTGTTTGTCCTGAGCCAGGAAGAACAATTCTGCACCATGCTGTTGCGCGTTTTGTATGATATGGGTGTCTGAAGGACATGAATATCAGATATATTATCGAATAGGTACATCAAATCGGCTAAAATAGGAACAAGCCGTACCTCAATAATATGACCACAAATAAATAAACTCTGATGTTTAGTAATATGATGAGCGAAATCGACAAGAGATGATCTCGCATTGGGCGCGCCAGTAAGAACCAAGAGTTGCGGTCTATAATTTTTCACATGCTCCTCCACCCGATCCAATTGCTGCACCGCAGTTAACGCGTTATTGTAGGTCTGGGCTTGTGTAGTCGAGCCCCAATTTACATCTGTAATATATTTTCATAAAGAGCGAAATGTATTGAAAAAAGCAACGTTAAACAAAGATAAATTTTTGTTGCGTAAATTACCAGGTTTTCTATACGAAACTACTAAATATAACGCTAAGACTACGCATAACGTTATTAAAGCCGTCCACCATGAGATCAGAAACATCACAGAAACGCAAAGAATAGCACCAGCGAGACTAAGCCACATATTATAATACTAAAAAAAAATGGAATAATATTATTAGATAGAGTGAAAATATAATAACGCCATAGATATATTTTTACGCTACAGTACCTTGAAAGTTGGTCGCCATCCGATCGGTTTAGCCAAAGAAGCATGAAACGTGCTGAAATTGATAAGAGTGTAGGCGGCCAAGAAAAAATTCGAAATCAGCGGCGCAATTGCATTTAAAAAACGCTACGAATTAATTCCAACACCTAATATATAAAACAAATTTCTCGAGATATGTACATATATATATATATAGAATTACCACTCACCTATCAGAATAAAAGCGACAGCAATAACGAAAGTAAGTAAATAACCGCGAATTGGCTCCTTATTTTTCTCTCCACTAAACCACGCGATTCCTGGATATAGCTTGTCAAGGCAGAGCGCTTGAAATACTTTCGGCGCTGAAACCAGCGATGCTAAGGCACTTGAAATCGTCGCCGCGAAACAACCGGCATAGATAATAGGTCCAAAAGCGGAAACTAATTGGATCACCTAGAAATAATGTCATTTGCCTATTTC